GCAGGAAGCTTCCAACCCCGACACTCCTCCCTGCAAAGGCAGTAGCTGGGGTTTCTGAGGGTGAGGGCCTGTCTGCCCGAGGGATGCCTGGGACCTTCCCTAGTGGGGACCCCTGGGTCTGGGGTCTCAGAGTTCCTCTGTCCAGTGGCACAGGGAGCTCTTGTGCCACTACCGGGCAGGCTCACCTGAGATGGGACATGGTCCAGTCCTGAGCGGAGCATATGGCCCCAGGCAGGGAAGGGACTTTGCTGGAGACAGCTTCCCACCATCAATTGACTCAGGATCTGGTCCCTCCCCGGAAGCCCCACTAGACGGACTCACCTGACGGTGGTGTCGGAAAATAAGATCCGTGGGGGTGATGAGAAACCCAGTCTTTGGGATGTTGTTGGTGAAAATCATTTTCTTCCCCGAATCCACTTCCATCCCCTGCAGCTGCCGGTTTCTGATGAGGCTGAGAAGACAAACCAGCCCAGTCAACGTGGTGATCGGATGGGGACTCTCCGGGTCACGGGAGAAGGAACAGAATTAGGGCACCAGGCTGTGGAAGCCGACTTCTGGTCTTCACAAGCCCACGCCTGTCCTTCGGGTTTGTCAGAACCTCCCCAGGGCACCTGCATCTCCAGTTTCCTGCTAGAGACTCACGTTACTGTCATCAAGGTGCATATACTCATCGATGCAGGTGAGGCCCAAGCCAGGAGGGGCTGGAGGCTAATTCCCAAGCTGAGGCGTTTCCTTGCTCTTAGTGCCTCTACTTAGAATTGCCTGGAGATGCCCGGAGGCAGCTGGCGCCACACCTGGCACCCAGACCTCAGCCACCTGTTCTAGGAGCACGGCTGAGTTCTCCCTGGCTGGGAAGGGGGCTGTCCGAGACCAGGCACAGAGCCGGGAGCCCTCTCACCTCAGCAGGCTTCCCCTCAGCAGCCTCAGGGCCCCCAAAGACTCCACCAGCTCCTGAAGCTCCTTCTGGACCACAGCAGCCCCCTCCGGAGAAGACTTCTCCATCACCAGCCGGCCGCGTGCTTCAATCAGGGGCAGCTGGGCCTCCTTGGCGGGGAATTCGTCCAGCAGCTTCTGAAGGACACACACACACACACACACACACACACACACACACACACACAGAGTAAGGTAATGGGGAGGGGGGTCTCTGCTCCCCAAACCTGCTTTTTTGGGATGCAGGGGACAGAATCTCTCTGTGGGGACAGCCCTCTTACCTCGACATCGACCTCTCGGGACTGGGCATCCCATGGGCCCGTGTCTACGCGGTGGGCCTCCAGCTTCTGCGTAAGCACGGAGATCCACTGTCGCAGCTCCAGAACCTCGTGGCTGAAGGTGCAATGTTCCCGCACGCTCTGCCGGCACGTGTCCACAAGGTCCTGCAGCACAGCCCCGGGGGACCCAGGCTGAGACCTCACCCTGCAGGACCCTCAGCCCTGCCCGAGCCCCAGGGGAGGATGGCCCCCAGGGCTCCCCATCCAGCCAAGAACATGAGGGGTTGGTCTTCTCTTCTGCACAGCGCAAGGAATTTACCCCAGAAAGACCAACTCTGGTTTAAAGTGCCTATAAGCCTGTCCTACTTTTATGGAAAGTACCAGGTCTGGGTGAGGGTGCGGGCAATGGGAGCTCTCGTCCATCACGGGTTTGGGCGTAAACTGGTACAACCACTTGGGAAGACCGTAGGTCTGTATCTACTAAAACCCAACACAGGCATCCCTATGACCCAACCATTTCATTCCTGCGTGTAACCCATCAGATGTGAACATATCTTCACCAAAAGGCACATGTGTGTTGTTACTTGTGAGAGCCCCAGACTGGAAACTACCCAAGTGCCTGTCAATGGTAGATGGATAAATGCATTGAGGTGGAATATTTCACCTCCGCCGCAGCCAGAATGAACAATCTACACAACAATCTACTGCAACATTATGGATGGATTTACAGCAATCATGTGGAGACCTAGAAGCCAGAAACAAAACGAAATATGCTGTCTGACTCATTTGAAGTAACGTATAAAATCAGGCAAACCCAATCGATGCCATGCCAAGTCAAAGGTCAGGGTTACTTGCAGGTGTCAGGCAGCAACTGGAGGGGGCACGAGGACAGGTATTGTTCTGTGCTGTGATCTGGGTGCTGGTAACGCAGATTTTTTTTCTTTTTACAAATGCATTAAGCTGCATAATTAGATGTTCACTTTTCTGTATATGATTATACTTTGATAAAAAGTCTTTAAAATGGTCTTGCTTTGTTTCCCCTCCCCTGAGTCAATCATGGCTCAGCTCTCTGGGACCTTGTTCATCTCTGTCTCCACAAAAGGTGGGTGTTGTATCCAGCAGAGTAACCATTCTCTGTCCCCCTGGTCACCCAGCCTGAGACCCTCAAAGCCCCCCCCCCCCTCAGCCCACCACAGGCCAGTCAGACCGCAGGGTCTGTGGTCCCCTCTCTTGCTGTGATTCTCAGTTTAGGTCCTTGTGATTCTTTGCTGGGCCACTGCAGGGCCTGCCTTCCTGCATTCCAGACACTGGCTGACACAACTGGCTGCCACTAGAAGCTGGGGACTTCCTTGCCCTGTCACTACCACCGTCTCCTCCTGTCCCCTGTGCACCAACATCAGACACAATGCCTTACACAATGGGGTATGTGCCCCCCAGGGGGACAGGAAGATCTCCTGGGCTATGGGGGAAGGACTTATTAGAATTTACTAGACTTAAAAAGCACCAAAATAATAAAAGAAGAGCAATACTTTTTTGAAGAAGCATTTAAACAATAAAGAAAGAAGTATGAGAGAAATGGAATATCACCGTTTTGCAAGCCTTGCGATGCTCAGCTAATACTTTTTCTAATTATTATAACAATCCATTAGCTCATCGTTCGGATGTAGGCATGAAAGCTGATGTCTGCTGCTTCTGTGGGCTCTGCAGGCCCCTGAAGAGCAAGCACAGTGATTCCTACCTATTTCTCTACTTTCCCAGCCCCAACCTTGAGGCCACACGCTGTTAATTTATTAAATGGAATTAAATGCATTCATCCAGACCTCATGCCTCGATTAAGACCAACAATGCAGAGCTACCCCACACCTCGCAAGGTTTTCTCATGTCCTACTGATGTCCACAGAGATGAAAAAGCTGTTTATCGTGACCCGAGCTTAGAGTCTTACTCCAGTACTCTCATCACTAGAGGCATTTGTAGCTGTTGAGTAGAGCAAGTGCGGTCTGACCACCTCCGATGTCTTTGGTATAGCCTTCTTGGAGCACCTATTTCATCAAAAGGTATTATTTTATTTTATTTTATTTTTCTAAAATGTTATTTTATGACATAGGCTTTTTTTTTCTTTTAATGTATTTATTTATTTATTTTTGGCTGCGCTGGGTCTTCGTTGTTGTGTGCGGGCTTTCTCTAGTTGCAGCGAGCGGGGGCTACTCTGTTGCGGTGCACGGGCTTCTCACTGCAGCCACTCCTCTTATCGTGGAGCACAGGCTCTAGGCGCGTGGGCTTCAGTGGTTGCAGCACGTGGGCTCAGTAGTTGTGGCTCACGGGCTCTAGAGCGCAGGCTCAGTAGTTGTGGTGCAGGGGCTTAGCTGCTCCGCGGCATGTGGGATCTTCCCGGACCAGGGCTCAAACCCGTGTCCCCTGCATTGGCAGGTGGATTCTTAACCACTGCGCCACCAGTGGTTTATTTAAAAATAAATTTTATCTATTTTTTCAATTGAAGTATATTTGATTTCCAATGTTGTGTTAGTTTCAGGTGTACAGCACAGTGATTCAGTTATATGTACATATATATGTGTGTGTATATATATATATATATATATATATATATTCTTTTTCAGATTCTTTTCCATTATAGGTTATTATAAGTCATTATTTTATTATAATTACTCTCCTTTTATTTCTCTTTTTGATAATAGAAAAAGCATTATATTAAATTTTAAAATTGTGCAGGTAACTCTATGAATTTCAGGGTTGCAAAGAAGGTGTCAGGAATATTTGTTATTAACATAGGGCATGCAGGGTCCAGAAGGGTGGAGAACCCTGCCTTAGACTAGCGTTCTTGAGCTGTGACTGCCTGACAGCTGGCTTTGCACGCCGGGGCGGGGGGGGGGG